TGCACGACAGACAAATATGCACGACAGACAAATAATCCCTGGTGGGCAGTGTGGAACCTGTTGTTCCTACCTGTATTAACCACTTGGAAACAAACGGATTCTGCTTGCTAAGGAGCAGCCCGGCTCCGGCATCTGCCCCCATGCTGCATGGTAAATGCGGCGACTGCATTCGACCACAGTTTGGAGTACGGGGTCAGGCAGTGTTGCCCCCCCTGTCTGGGTTTGTAGTTAAAGCAAAAAGTGCCTCGTGACGTTAAGTTAGTCTCGTTTTGCGTTCAGCCTAGCCGGGCCATGTTACATCGTCCAGTCGTTCAGCTTTATTTTCGATTTAAAGCTTTCGTGACTGCAGGGATTCATCTTCTTGGTTCTTTCGGTAAAGTCACGTTTTAAAGTAGCGGTAGCTCTCACACCTATAGAGCACACCCGTTTGATGACAAAGGGGCATGTCTGGGCGTACAGCCGTTTCAATACGGGCAAAAGAATGTGGTCCATTTGTGTTTTCCTTGTGATGGGGCTTTATCGGATGAACGTTGAGATTTATAAGGGCACGGGGTGAATTGGTCCGTAACAAGGTGACACCGATAAGGGGCCGTCCATAAATGACGTCACGCGATTTGGACGTTTTTAACCCCCCTTTGTCACACGGCGTCACAAAAAGTCAGACCCCCCCCTCAAATATGACGTCACAAAGCTCTGCCCCCCCCGCCCCCAAATAAAACATGCTTCAAATCGCTTTAAACTATTGTCATTGTAGTGCATATTTCACGTGACGCTGCACTCTGATGTTGTTGGAGAAAACATTTATTAAAAAGCATATTTAATTAAGTAGAACGTGTTGATCTATATTTATTTAAAGTTGCGCATTTTGATGTGACGTCACATTTCTCAAACCTCCCCGCCTCACCATTGGAACCTCATTTGCCAGTAACAAAAATGATAATTGTTTTTTTTACCCTTTTATCTGGCAACAAAACTGCAGGTATTGTGGTCAATGTTTGCGTTGACCACAATACCTGCAGTCGTCACAAATGTCTGACCCCCCCACTCCCTAGGTGCGTGACGTCATTTATGGACGGTCCCTAAGGGGTTGACGGGTATGTGCTGTAGGAGCTCTCGAATATAAAAACATCTGGCGGCACCGCAAGTTAAGAACATCACCGCTGTAGGAAAATGACAGAGCCCGCCAAGTGGACGTCGTCAGTCGCCACGCATCCATTTAAAGCAGCGGTCGGGAACCTATGGCTCGTGAGCCATATATGGCTCTTCCGGTGACGGCATATGGCTCCCAGACAATTGAGTTGAAAAGAATAATAATAATAAAATAATAATAAAATCAGTTTGGAACTGATTTTAAAATACTTGTGATATTGCTTAATAATACTGTGTCATTTTAAAGTAAACAGAAATTTGTTTTGAAGATAAAATTTCTCGGGTCACGGATCCCGTGACCAGAAGTCGCATTAAAAGTAAGACATATTTAATTTATTATACGTTAAAATACTATATGGCTGTCAATGAAATATATTTAGAAATATTTGGCTTTTATGGCTCTCCCAGTCAAAAAGGTTCCCGACCCCTGATTTAAAGCATGTGCGAAAGTCATCACGGACATCACTTCGGGGCAAATGACGTATGTACGTCATCACGTTCAGCACGTCACAGCCCAAGCCCACGCCAGCAACTCGTGTACGTCATCGCGTATTGCGCTTGCCAGCAACGCGGTGACGTAACCGCGCACAGCCGGAGCCAACAATTTCACGTCATCACGTACGAATGGCAGAAACTTATATTTGCATATGGGGTTGTCCATAAATGACGTCACGTGATTTAGGACAATTTTTGACCCCCCCCCCCCCTCGTCACACGGCGTCTGAAAAAGTCAGACCCCCCCTCTCAAATATGACGTCACAAAGCTCTGCCCCCCCCCTCAAAAAAATGAAACATGCTTCAAATCGCTTTAAACTATTGTCATTGTAGTGCGTATTTCACGTGACAGTGCACTCTGATGTTGTAGGAGAAAACATTTATTAAAATGATGTTGTAGGAGAAAACATTTATACTGGTAGGAACGAAGTGGACCAGACCACCAATAGATTAATGTGTCCGTCCGTCCGTCCGCGTTTGTCCGTCCGTCCGTCCGCGTTTGTCCGTCCGTCCGTCCGCGTTTGTCCGTCCGTCCGTCCGTGTATCAACATCGCCCCCTACTGCAAACACTTGGCATGACCCTGTCCGACAAGATGGCCGCCCGCTCCCCCTGCGATATGTGAATTAAACAAGATGGCCGTCGCTTCCGGCGCCTCACGGCAAAACTTTTAACTTCGCTTCAAAATTACTTTACTGAAACGCAGCACGTTTATTTAAAAAATTACTTTACTGAAACGCAGCACGTTTTTTTAACACAGAGACAAGAAACATTTATTAACACAGAGACAAGATACATTTAATCGCCTTATTTGTGCACGAAAAGCACGGCGCGAGGCCTAGTGCGGCAGGCTTCGCGAGGCCTAGTGCGGCAGGCTTATTAACACAGAGATGAAACGCAGCACGTTTATTTAAAAAAAATTACTTTACTGAAACGCAGCACGTTTTTTTAACACAGAGACAAGAAACATTTATTAACACAGAGACGAGATACATTTAATAGCCTTATTTGTGCACGAAAAGCACGGCGCGAGGCCTAGTGCGGCAGGCTTCGCGAGGTCTAGTGCGGCAGGCTTATTAACACAGAGATGAAACGCAGCACGTTTATTTAAAAAAAATTTACTTTACTGAAACGCAGCACGTTTTTTTAACACAGAGACAAGAAACATTTATTAACACACGGACGAGATACATTTAATCGCCTTATTTGTGCACGAAAAGCACGGCGCGAGGCCTAGTGCGGCAGGCTTCGCGAGGCCTAGTGCGGCAGGCTTATTAACACAGAGATGAAACGCAGCACGTTTATTTAAAAAAAAATTACTTTACTGAAACGCAGCACGTTTTTTAACACAGAGACAAGAAACATTTATTAACACACAGACGAGATACATTTAATCGCCTTATTTGTGCACGAAAAGCACGGCGCGAAGCCTAGTGCGGCAGGCTTCGCAAGGCCTAGTGCGGCAGGCTTCGCGAGGCCTAGTGCAGAAGGTGGTGGTGGGGGCTGGTGGTGGGGGGTGGTGGTGGGGGCTGGTGGTGGGGGCTGGTGGTGGGGTGGTGGTGGGGGTGGTGGGGGGGCTGGTGGTGGGGGGTGGTGGTGGGGGTGGTGGTGGGGGTGGTGGTGGGGGTGGTGGTGGGGGCTGGTGGTGGGGGTGGTGGTGGGGGCTGGTGGTGGGGGCTGGTGGTGGGGGCTGGTGGTGGGGGGTGGTGGTGGGGGGTGGTGGTGGGGGCTGGTGGTGGGGGGTGGTGGTGGGGGGTGGTGGTGGGGGGTGGTGGTGGGGGCTGGTGGTGGGGGCTGGTGGTGGGGGCTGGTGGTGGGGGGTGGTGGTGGGGGGTGGTGGTGGGGGGTGGTGGTGGGGGCTGGTGGTGGGGGCTGGTGGTGGGGGGTGGTGGTGGGGGCTGGTGGTGGGGGGTGGTGGTGGGGGGTGGTGGTGGGGGCTGGTGGTGGGGGGTGGTGGTGGGGGGTGGTGGTGGGGGCTGGTGGTGGGGGGTGGTGGTGGGGGGTGGTGGTGGGGGGTGGTGGTGGGGGGTGGTGGTGGGGGGTGGTGGTGGGGGGTGGTGGTGGGGGGTGGTGGTGGGGGGTCTTTAAATCTCACAGCGTTTCTTGTCAAAACAAACACTTATACCCGGTCGATATCCCTGTACCGGTACTAAGTATTATTCCTACCAGCCCACCCCGCAGGGTCCTGTTTAAAAACATATTTAATTAAGTAGAACGTGTTGTCTATATTTATTTAAAGTTGCGCATTTTGATGTGACGTCACATTTCTCCCCCCCCCCCACCTCGTCACACATCGTCACAAATGTCTGTCCTCCCCTCCCCTAGGTGCGTGACGTCATTTATGGACGGCCCCTATGGATATGTTTAATAGCTTAATGTCAAAGTCTACTCGCCACCAGAGGGCTTCAGCCTGTATAGTTTTGCTATTCCTTTCGTGGACGGAGCGCAGAATGCAGTGGTGGTTTACTATTAGTATACGGTGCGCAGTTTGGGATACAAGGCTCCAACCGCACGACCGGTGTGGCTGGCTGGTCCTTTAACTTTCCATGGCAGCAACTCCTAACGCAATCTAGATTTGAAGTTTATTGACTGCAGGGATCCATACTCTTTGGTTCTTTTAAAAAAAAATTCCCACTTCAGCAATTGTTTCTTGCCGTGGTTGTCCCACCTGATGACGGACGCTTGTGTTGCGCCCGAAACGTCGTAATTTAATTGATTTTATACCTACGTGACTTTACCGAAAGAACCAAAGAGTATGAACTCCTAACACATCTCGATTTAAAGCTTTCGTGACTGCAGGGATTCATCTTCTTTGTTTTTTCGGTAAAGTCACGTAGAAGGGAAGTAATAAAATAATTAAAATAAATATAAAACATTTTATTACTTCCCTTCTACGTGACTTTACCGAAAGAACCAAAGAGTATGAACTCCTAACACATCGCGAAACCAACCCCATTATGGTACAGCTGCGTGACGTCATTACGCACGAGGCGAGGGAGGCCGTGGCCTCGCACGCATTACGTCACCGCGTACGCCGCGGAGGGGCTTACGCGGTGTGGGCGTGGAAACGCGTGACCTCATCACGCACGCGTGACCTCATCACGCACGCCGTGACCTCATCACGCACGCGTGACCTCATCACGCACGCCATGACCTCATCACGCACGCGGGACGTCATCACGCACCTCACCACGCACGCGTGACCTCATCACGCACGCGTGACCTCATCACGCACGCGTGACCTCATCACGCACGCGTGACCTCATCACGCACGCAACGGTGCGGGGGGGTATAAAAGGCGTGGGGGTGGGGTAGGGGCCAAACGTTGATTGCGGCACGGTGCGCGCGCACCCCCCCCCGCGGTTCAAGCGGCCACCGTCCACCGTCCACGTCACGGCGCCTCGGTGATGTCACGGCCGCGTTTAAAAACACGACGACGACGCCGAGACGCGGGCAGGCGGGCGGGCGCGCGAGCCGCCCCGAGCCGCCTCGAGGGAAACACGCGCGGCCCACGGCAGCGGGCGAGACCGCATCGTCGCCCCGAGCCGAGTGCGGACGACGCGACGCAGAGGAGGAGGAGCAGTAGCCCGTGTGCCTCGCCTGCTCAGGTGAGGAGGAGACGAACGACGTCGCCGATCGCCGCCGCCGCGTTCGTTGTTGGCGCTGCCGCCGTGAACATGGCGGAGGCGGCTCCGCGTCTCGCTCTGGGAGGGGACGAGTCCATTATTGACTGACCGGGGTGGGTTTCTTTTTGCTTTTTGTAGATATTTTTGTTTGTTTTACTACGTTTCGTTTGAAGATTGTACGCAAACAATGGAATGCTTTTCTCAGGATTTATTTAACTCGTTCTCGGTATTTTTGCCGCTAGTTTTCGCCCCTCCGTCACACGCTGGAATCGCCCGGTCAAAGGTCACCCTCTTGCGGCCGTGACACTGAAGATATTTGTTTTTGTTCAACATTACTGTGGTGTAATTCGTCGGGTATTTTTTTCCCCCTGCTAAAACCCGTGTCTCTATGCGTCGGGGTGGGTGGGTTAATGTTGAATTCGTAACGTTAAGTAACGGCCGTGTGTGGTTTAAGTGTAGCCGGCTGTTTGTAATGGCGCTGTTGGATGTCCGTGTTGTTGAACTACTTTTAGAGTTACAAGTGGGAACAGTTGACCGGTCGAATCTTCTTTTCCTTAAGACTTCGCAATAAAACAACACCACTCCACTACTCATTTAGTTATCCCAAAAGATTAAAGGTGCATTCAGATTATCATCTCAATTCGGAGGCTTTCGTTTCAGCAATCAAAAGTAGCGTATTCGTTTTAACCTATTTCCAGTACGCTACTGTTGACCGATAATGGGGCCCAAACACTTGTGTCGATTTTTGCCCGGTGCTTTTTTTTAAATGAAATGGCAGTAACTTAAAACTTTCCTGGATGGTTGTTTCATCAGTTTTTTTTGCAAATGCTTATTTCAGACTGCCAAGCAAATGCATGCACTGGGCTAGAAACAAACCAGGTGAAATTTCTATAACAACTAAAGTGGTTTCTCCATTTTAAATTGACTCGGGGGGGGGACTGTACGTTGAATTTGACTCGTACGTTGACATGGCAGATGTGCAGCTAAACTTGCAATGTTGAAGCTAATTCAACACATCGCCAATGATGTAGTTAACATGTGTGGCACTTTGCACCGCCATGTGAAACATACCCAATTTCCTGGACACGCATTTTTACCCGAATTATTAGGCCACTATGAAGTCATGCATTTGGGTAATTGTTGATACGTTTGTTAAAAGCGATTCGGTGATTATCCGAAAATAAGAAACCCTGCACGTAATTAGTCAAATGTATTGATTGTGAAGGGGGCATTCGTCAGGTTGAATGTTTTAGTCCATATTGTGGGGGGCTTTTAGTGGCTGTTAGATTGCAGCTGACCTTATCGGTGTTAGGTTACTCGTTATGAGATTTATTATTTTCTCGCGAACGTTTTTTTGCAACAGGAAGTCGGTGCAAGGTTACACCATTGTTCTGTTGCAATGGCCCAGCAGTCGAAGCGAGCTGAATCAGTCGTGTATCAAAAACATTGAGTGGACATTTTACATTTTGAGCTTGCGTTAATTTGTGAAAATTCACACTCGACGCATTTGAACAACGAATTATTTCAAAGTGAAATGCAGTATTCTAATTGCAGGTACAGTATGTTGGTATTAATATGCCAGGGACATATTCATCGTATTGCGGGACCCCGGGTAAACGGAAGTCAAAATCGAAATTAATTAATTTATGGCGACTCCGTCCCACCGCGCACGTAAACGCCGCGACCCACCTGGCACGAATCATTCTGTTGTCATGTTCAAGCGCAGCGAGGACGAATGCGCAGAAGAGCTGAACAAGCGAATGCACCCCATGCTCGGGTATGGGCAGGATCATAAGTCTTATTTATCCAAAGCTGCTCAAACTGCCTACACGAATTAAGTCCTTTATTTGTCATAACGGTATGCATAATACAGTGAAACTGCTCTCTTATCTTAATTATTATTTGTGACCTACCAATGTCTGCAGCCAGGATCAATCCATGACAATCCTATTACCTGCAGATATTTAACAGATGAGATGCGTTGCACCGTTAATTCCTCCTGTTTGATAATACTTCTCTTGTCTGTATGCAACTGTGCAGATTGGCTTAACCGCAAAAAACACCTTAGTCCCCACATACTGCTCGTATCAATGCGGATACGAGGAGTGGCCACCCACTACTCTGTAGAGGAACATTGGTATAAACGCTTGTTACAATATGAACAGCGCATTGAAAACGCGTACTAATTTATGTTCCGGTTACAAAGTGTGTTTACAAATCCACACTGAGAAACACGATGATTGACAGAGGGGTGTAAATTATTTTTTGATAGTGTATTTAAATAGAGGTACTGCAGGTAAGTCGTTTTAAAGGGATAGTTTAACAAGACAACACTTGCCACCCATTGGTGAAAAAGAGCAAAGTTTTTGTTTAAATTATAATATTATGTTTATGCGAGAGCCGGGGGCTTATGGGACCCGTCATAAGGTTAATGTATAGTATTGGTGGCACGTTATCAATGGTTAGATACATTACAGTATTATAGGAAAACCTGTATCGTTGAATTCCGTACTTTGATTGAATTCGAACTGCAGGTGTAAATTATGTTCATGTGTCTGACCCTGCTAAGATGTTTATCGGGGAATGGTTTAATGCAATTTTAAACAGCTGTGATGCAGAGAACTGCAATATCTGTGCTGTGCATGTGGTAGTGATTCGATGCGTCGTCTTCAGTTGATATGACGGTTACGATATTGTACAGATGTACTTGCTTGCTCTAATTGTGCACTGATTTCGAATGTGTTTATTATGCACATTGTACGCCGCTGGGCTCCCAATTGGATTCCTCGTGCACATGCGTAGTCCAAAGCCAATTCAATTAACAATGTACCTATTTAGCATAATAAAAAAAATTCAGTTGACATGCAAACTTCCATTTATTTAATTCACCATGTTGCATGTCATGCTTTGCAGTTGTGAGATATGCTTAGTACCTTAATTATTCTGGAACATTTTTACATGGTTACCAAAACCAGTCATTATACTTGTACTCCCACAGTCCATTGCAGGTCACAGTTGTGCACTAAGGTCACTTACCCTATATGACATTCTTGGGACCTCTCAAATGGATCCTTCTAATTAATAATGGATGTGTGAAAATTAATTTCTTGAGACCTAACATTTTGAAGTCTTCATTTAAAGAATACTAGCAGTTGAGATGGCTGCTGACCAAAAGTGGTAAAATGGATAAGGAGAATCATCACCCTCAAGGGGCTGACCACTGGGAAGATGAACATTGATATTGGGACATGAATGAGTGAAGATGAATTGCAGCTGCTAAGGGCTATAGATCATTGCAGAACTGTGAATTGATGTTATGATATGTTCTATTCCAAAATTTGGGTGGATTCAATCTGTGGTACAGCCTCGTGGGCCATACACATTAATCGGGGGATCTGCTCGCATGTCTAGAGTTTGGATATGGAAATATCTTTTGCATGAATGCACACCAATACTTTTGTAAAACTTTCACTCAGTCGTGAACAAAAACCGACAAATTAAGGTAATATATAATAATTTTATGCATGCTTATGTAAGAACAACAAACCTGTAGTCTACTTAAATAATCAAATACTCGAGGTATTATAAATAAGAATTCTGACCTCTTATTTCTTCTGAATGTTGGTGAACAAGACATGCCGATGCTAAGGTAAAATTATTGATGTATAATATGACATTAAATAGTTGCATTGATCAAAATAATTTCCTTGTGGGGTTCATTGGGGTGGTTCCATCACCCAGAAGCTGATTGGTGACAAAACGGCATGCTCTTTTTTCAGTGGTTTCTCATTTTGACAGACACAAACCCATGCCATTTTTTTCCCGGACAGTATACTTGTCTATAAGAAGTGATGACTCTTCCAACTGCTCACTGCATTGTGAGTTAGCTTAAGATGTTTTGCACCTAGACATGCTGTACTGCATTGGAAGCAAGTGGAAATTCCAACAGTGAATACAGGTATCCCTCGATTTACGAAAGGAATGCGTTCTTCAATGAACAACAATTATGGATGTTTCCAACCTTTCTAATCTCAAAATATACACCTATCTCATGTGTCACAATACAAACATAATAATAAAGAACAAAAATATTAGAATGATTGAGTAACAATTTTTTTTACTTTTTTAAGGTAATTTTCAAAAAGATCTGCATGTTGGAACAATCTGAAAGGTGATGTGGAGGCATTACTGTGGCACTGTAGGGATACCGTGACTGTCGCGGGTGGATGACGCAGACTGCCGTATGGTTCTTGCTTGACTTCGTTGGCGCCTACAGTAGTGAAATTTTGTTTACATGGGAATTTGATTTCGTTCATTGAAAAGTGTCTATAATTTGTCAATTGCGTTAATGCAAAATTTCATCAACCAAACTGGTTTAACGTCATTGTAGTTTATTATCTAATTCATCACATTGCAATTAGTCCATTTATATTCTGATGTAAAACGTTAAGTTATGATAAGAAGTAGTACCATGCTGTGAAATTAGGTCATGCATAGTTAAAATAATAGTGCCCGAAAGGATTTGCATTTGCAATCTGCTTTGATTTTTTTTGTTATAATGGGAGTGTTTCACTGTCAACCTGTGCTTGGTTAAAAAAAGCTCAGGTCGTTTTGTTCTCCATAAAATGTAAAATGTCTCCACCGCACTTCATTGCATGTACGCTTGCACGACCAGCAACATCTGATCACTACAGCGCATATGCCAATCAATGAGACGTTTGGTGGCACTGATCATAGGCACCGAATTCGTTGATATTGCTTAAGTGCTCTCAAATGGGTAGCCATTAAACTGGCTTGATTATACTTTATTAAAAAAAATTCCCCTGTCATTTATTTTTCTTTGTTACGCGGTCGGTGCAAGTTATTTTATCAGCCATTTTTTTTCCACTGCTGAATGAATGCCTCTCCCTGTCATCACCATCTCGGTTCAGTGCTGCTACCATTTCCTGCATGTAAACTATCTCCATCAGAGGTTTTTGGGT